GTGCGTGGCGGGGGCAGCTTGGCCCGAGGGCGTGCGGTCAAGCGGGACGGTCCGGCCTTGGGAGTGCAAGCGATCTCGGGGTGGGCGGCCGTCCGCGCACGTCCAGATTCGTGCATTGCGCGTGAAACCACCGGTGCATCCGGGCGGCGGACCACTCACTATTCTGCGCGCCTCCCCGCCGGCCCTGGCGTATCGCCGCCCCGCGCCACGCAGGGAGAGATGGGCGCGACAGGTGCGGCGCGGGCCACGTCGCCGACGCGGGCGCCCCGCATGGATGTGATAGCGAAGGGCGAGCTCAAATCTCGTCGCTCGGCAAGGCAGCCGCCATCGCAAGTGCTTACGAATCCTCTTGCCATCCAAGCACATGCGTCTGCAAGCCCCACAGCACACGTGAAAGCCGTGCCCTGTGCTGATGTCACTCTGACATCACCATGACGTCGGCCGTGCTTCCCGTTCCCGCAGTGATGAAGTACCCCGGCGACTGGGCCGCCTTGATTGACCCGCTGCGGGCGCGCGTTGGGGCCATGGCGGATATCCTCTTCGGTATAGGTGCGTGACCGCCATTTATTTCAGCCAGAAATGCTGATGACTGGTGGGAAATCTGGGAAACCTTGCGGCGCCAAGGCCACCTCGCTGACGTTCTTGGGGGGCAGGGTGCAGAGGCTTGACAGCGGCCGGAGCGGGTGGGAGCGCAGATGAGGCGCCTGTGCAGGTTGCGTTGCGGCTAGGCAGAGCTTAGGGTTAGGGGCCGTGCCCCAGACCAGGTGATGCAGCAATGGCGTCGGCCGTGCCGGCCCTGGCTGCAATTATGTGGCCGTGCCAACGCTTGGGGGCCCCTCTAGCCTGCGGCGGCGCCGCGCAACTCCCACCTGACGAACATGCCTGCCAGCGAGCGGTTCTCCGGAGGGCCCGCGCCGTCAACCAGCAAACTCCCCACACCGCACCGAGCCCTCCCACAAGATAAATTTACAATGATGTCATCTGTGACCCCGCCCCTGCCTCAGGCATCAACTTCACGGGCCTCAGGAACTCGGCCACCGCGACCCGCATGATGCCCATCGCCGGATTCCTCATGGGACTGTTCGGCCGCGCGCCGCCGCCGGACAGCGCCGGCGACCCGGCGGGCGTGAAGGATCTCATAGAGAACAGGATCTCGTTCATCGGGATCTCCGCCTACGCGCCGCTGACGGGGCCGGGGTTTGCGCCGAAGGAGCTGGAGAACTCGGCGTTCAACATCAAGGTAAGCCGGGTGGGAGGGCCCGGCGGGGCGCGGCCGCGGCTGCTGCTGCCCAACCTTTGGAGGCGGCGGTGGTTATAACGGCGCTTCGTGTGGGCTAGGGATCTGGTACAGATGGGCGCTGCTGCTGCTGCGGCTGCTGGGCGACGCTGCAGCGGCGGCAGGGGCGCGGCTGGCGCGCCAGCACAGTGGCGGCGCTGGCGCCTCGATTTGGTCACGGCTGGACCTGTCGGGTGTCTGTCGGGTGTCTAGCAACTTGCCTGACGCGGTTTATCTTGTATCACACCCGTCGATGCACCAGGACGACCTGGCAGCGATGAACATCGACCTGACCGGCCTCATGAACAGCGGCTCCATCGAGCTGCACTACAGCGAATTTGGCGTTGGCGGCGGCTCCCGCGACACAGGTGCGAGTCTTGGCACCCGCACGGGATGGGCGTGCCCAGGGTGGTCCCATTGGGTGGTAGCAGGGGTCCCGCCTTCTGCGGTGCTGCAAGCGCCTGGTTGATATTCAGGGTGATTGGCGCATGGCAGAGACCCGCCAGAATTCCCCCCTCGACGACTGGTTGACTGCTGCCTGACTGTACAGCCATTCACACAGGATTGATACGCTCACTCACACGCATGCGGTTGCCTTCGCAACCCCACCCCCGCCCTTGACCTCGCAACCGCAGGCAAGCCGTCCAGGGATCCCTCTGAGATTGCCACCTTCCCTTTCGCCGGCGTCGAGGGCTCCTACACTGTGGCCAACGACCCCTGGTCGTTCCCACCCAATAAGAATTTTGTGCGCGAATTCTACGCCAAGGTTTCGCAGTGGCTGTCCGCAACAGAGAACAAGACGCACAAGTGGGTGTTGCCCAGCTGGCGGCTGCAGCCACGAGGGCCGCCTGCCCGGCTGCACTGGCAGCCTGCCTGCCGCGACGCCGCGGAGGGCCATGATCGCGGCTTGCAAGAACCTCGCCTGCGGGCCGGCCGCCACGCCGCCGCCATTGCGCTCCGGGCGCTGCGGCAGGCGCGGGGCTTAATGTGTTCTTGATGAGGGGCGCCCGTGGGCGCCCTGGCTCCGGAGAGGCGCTGTGGGGGCCCCGTCGGGTCCTCCCTTGCCCTTGTCTCAACCCCTGGCCCTGCTTGCCGGTCCCATGCTGCGTCTCCCACACCACAGGCTGTCCAAGCTGTTCATCTGGTCTCATGCATCATTCGACATCCTCGGGGTGGTGAGCAGCCACTGCATACCGAATATCCTGTCCTCGCTCTTCCCTTCTTGGAAGAGCGATGGCCTCGTTTTGGACCCTCGCATGCAGCTGTCGTGGATGCGGCATGCATGCGTGATAGGGCAGTGACTTGACTTGTGTGTGTGACATGAGTCGTGATAGGGCAGTGACATGACGGTCCTGCTGCCCTGCCGCTCACATGACCTCAAGCTGCCCTCTGCACCCGCGCAGTACCCGCAATCTCTGACTAAGGAGGGCACTTACTACGACCCCGTCATAGCGGGGATCATTCAGAAACACAACGCGCTCGTCCGCCCCAACAACACCTGGGCATCGGTGAAGGACCTCCCCCCCGCGCCGCCGCCGACGCTGGACGCCCCGCCGCCAAACATTGCCAGCGCGGCCGCCGCCCAGGCGGCTGCGGCGGCGCAGGCGGCGGCGGTGGCGTCGCTGCCCGCGGAGAACGGCTTCAGCGTCTTGATGGCGACGAGCTTCCCTGCAGCCCTGGCGGCGCCGGTGGCGCCCGCGGTGCAGGCAGCGCCGGCTGCCCCCGCCGCGCCTCCGCCGAACGTGGCCGCGGCGCAGCAGGCGGCGCTGCTCGCGGCGCAGCGGCAGAACGTGGCGCTGCTCTCCTCAGACGCGCGGCTGCTCGTGCCCGCGAATGCGCGCGTGGCGTCGCCGCCCGCGAAGGCCGCGCAGCCCAAGCCGCGCTCGCCCTCGCCCTCACCCTCGCCCAAGGCGTCGCCCAAGGCGTCGCCCAAGGCGTCGCCCAAGGCGTCGCCCAAGCCGGCGGCGCCGAAACAGCCGGCCCCAAAAGCCACACCGCCACGCACGGGGGGCACATGGGGCGTACTAGCGGACTTGCGACGTGCAGCGGCAGGCGTGTGGTCGCCCTAGCGGGCTGCGGCCCTGGAGGCACGGGTGACGGCGCCGCGCCGCTTTGCGCGCCCGCGCGGCAATGCCACTTGGCGCCCGAGCGCTTGCGGTCGCTCGCGGCGGCTTTGCGGGCGGCGCCGCTGCCGGGTACGGTAGGGGATGCGATGAAAGGAGCACCAGCAGACCTTCCTGGCCGGGCGAATGCCCCGCCTGTCTTCGTTACTAAGACTCATTTAGGAATGCAGCACCGCGGCGCCTGCGCCGCCAGCCCTGCGTGCGGGCGCGCACGCACGTACAGGCGCGCCTGGGGCCGCGGCGCGGCGAATCGGCCCCGAACGCGCCCTTCAGCCGCCGCCAAACGTGCACGGGTGGTTGCTGCACGTTTGACTGCCCGTCCGCGGTCGCCGCCGTCTGATGGCAGTCAAGCCGTACGCTTGGCTGGCTCCGTGCACGCCCAACCATTCGTGGCCGCTTCTCAGCTGCGGCCTGCGGCTCTCGCCTGGCGGCCGCGCGTCACTTTAAGTTGGGCGTGGACCTGCACCCTTCGCAGCCTGCGCTTGGCAGCAACCAGGCCCGCCCTTGCGGGGCCGGCTTTCCCGCTCTGCAGTTTGGGCCCCAGCGGGCGCCAGGGCCCAGCAATGGGCCAGCGGCAGCGCATCAGGGGCCCCGGGCCAGCGCCTGCCTGCTTGTCACGCGCTGCTGGACTTGATATATATTGCTTTGCAGGGGGAGATTGGGAGGCTGCGCCTTCACACGCTGCAAGGCGCGCTGCAGGATCAGGACTGTAGACGCAGCGCGAGCACACGCGTGCGCGCGCTTGTCATTGGGGCGGGCTATCTGCCCGCCCAGCCAGGCTGTGGCAGACAGGTGCGCTGCTGCAGGGCTCAAGGGGGAGGCCGCCGCGGCCAGACCCATTTGACACGCGCTTTCATTGCCGCACGCACACAGAGAGAGGCATTGCACTCGGGGCGCCCCC